CCTGCTTTATTAAATTGGAACTTTAAGCATAGTTTTGCCTTCGATTCTGATTTGATTCTACATGATATTTGGAACGCTGACACTGCCTTGATTTAACAAAATTCCCCTTGCTCCTCTCCCACCCAATTCAGCAGACTTTGGATACAGTAAATCAGTGGCCTCCAACCTTTTTGACACCAAGGACTGGTTTTGTGTAGAGAGAAGTTTCCATGGACCAGAGTGGGCATGATTTTGTGTGTTGCCTGCATCCTGCGGATGAGGCTTTGCTTGTTTGTGCAGCCCGATTTCTGGCATGCCGTGAACCGGTGCCAGTCCATGGACTGTGGGTTAGGGACCCCTACAGTAAACAACTTTTGACTTCATCACCAAATAATGGAAAAAGCCTATTCAATGAATCAGTCCATCCAAGTTAAATTTTCATTTAAAGTCAAATATTTGCCTTTAATGGGACACTCGCTCTACCTGGTCCATTGCATTGAGGTGTTCTGCATTTGAATTAAATTTACAGAGTTGATTATACATTTCCCATGTTCTTTGCTTCATTTGAATAACATTTTTATTTAATTATTGGTACAGTGATAGTAAATATTTCCTAATATAAATTCACTGGCACAAGTTACTCCAGTTTCTGAATAGACACAGGAATGGTCAGCTTCTTGATATAGATTGACCAGAACTGTTTTATATCAGAGTGGTGTTTTGAGTATTGCATTCTAACTATATATCATTATTTCTGTGTCTTGCAGCAAACACGAAGATGAAATGATGAAGATGCTGATTAAATGGGGTCCTTTGTCAGTAGTTGTAGATGCTCTTAGCTGGCAAGATTATCTTGGTGGTATCATACAACATCATTGTTCTAGTGGGGAACAAAATCACGCTGTGGTTGTAACTGGTTTTGATAGAACAGGTAAACTTTCATTTGTTTATTTTGTTATTTTCTTCAGTGCAAAATAGTTTTATGTTGGCTATTTATTTATGAGAAGGCCTTGCATAGCTTCCTTGACTGTATCAATATACATATATAAATTGGCTATTATACCTGAAATTATATTACAAGCTTAATTTCTCATTTTAAATCCATCGTTCCAGTTTTTATAATTATAAAGTCTGTACTTGGATACAGATACCTATACTGCATTTGTTCATACAGCCAGACCTCCACTTACAATTGGAATTGGACCTGAAATAGCAGACTTCAGCAAAGTGGTTAAGTGGCATGCCATGTGCAGTGGTGGGATTCAAATTTGTTTACTATTATTTGTGGGCGTGGCTTGGTGAGCGTGGCAGGGGNGGTTTAGGGTTAGGTTTGGGGGGGTTAGGTTTAGATTTACGCGTTAATTTTAAGTTTACCGCTCACAGCGTGCTGTTTTCGTCACGCTGTGATGACGTCATGTACGCGCTTTCGTCGAGCGCGCTTTAGTCTACCGCGGTTTTGTGGTGGAACCCATCACAGTGGTGCTTGGCAGCCAGCTCATATTTATGACCAGGTTGCACTGTCTCACAGTCATGTAATCATGATTTGCAAGGCTTTGCTGTTTTAGAAAATGGCAAAAAAACACTCCTGAATATGTTGGATCCACTGGATGAAGAGATGGGCCATTTATACTGTTTAAAAGTAATTCAATAACCATGTGGTTTGTGATTAACTCTTATGATTATTGCAAAAATGGTCATAAAATCAAGTTAGGTAATGTGACGTGCTTAACTTGCAATAACAACTTACTGCTAAAATTCTGGGCTCAATTGTGATCAGAAGACAAGGACTACCTGTACATCTATGTTTAGATTGTCTGCATCCTTTGTCTGTATTCAAATGTATAATCAGCTTAACAATGAGTGGATGTCATCAACACAGTAAAAACTTAACAAATATTCTTGAAATGATAGCTACTTCATAGTTCTCAATAAATTTAATAGTAGTTTGGATTCTGTCCCTCTCTTCCTTTTTAGAATTTTAAATAAATTTCTTGAGTCTCCAGACGCAATAAATGTATCCATCATACATGTGGCAAAAAGCATAATACTTTTCTGCTTTTAATGTAACACACTATTGATGACAAAGCAGAATGGTTTTTAAAATATGTGGTAAAGGGCATCTTTTTCAAATCAGGTCAATCTGTGAGGAGACAGATACATGTAATATGTTTACCCAATTGTCCATAAAAAGAAATAGGTACTGTTTGCAATGTACTGACTCTTTTCCCATGTGGCCAGAATAAGTAGCGATACTGAAAACAACAAAGCTGTTTCAGTTTATGTAACTCATCAGAACAACCAGAATAAAAAAGAAAATCTCAAATGTTTGCAAATAGTTGAAATCCAATATTTATTCATAAATCTGTATAAATAATTAACTAATATTTACTAATGCCAGTACATAAATGAAAACTATTCATTTTCTTTTGCTTGTTCAAACCAGTATGTTTTAAAACTAAATAGTACTAGATACATGTTTTAACAAGCAGTTCTGTTCAGGCAAGGAAAGCAGAAAAGTCAGATCTAACAATTCAGTTCCTCTTTTTTATAACTAGGTAGTATTCAACTTACAACAGTTTGTTTGGTAACCATTCAAAATTACAACAGAAATGAAAAAAAAAAAGACTTGACCATTTTCCCCATTTACGACCATTGCAGAATCTCCATGATCACATGATCAAAATTCAGATGCTTAGCAAGTGGCATGTATTTATGACGGTTGCGGTGTTCTGAATCATGTGGTCACTTTTCGTAACCTGGCAAAGTCAATGGGGAAGCCAAGTTCACTTAACAACCATGTTACTAACGTAAGAACTTCAATGATTCACTTAACAACTGTGGCAAGAAAGCTCATAAAATGGGGCAAAACTCACTTATCAACTGTCTCACTTACAGAAATTTTGGGCTCAATTGTGGTTGTAAGACAAAGACTGCTATATATGAACATGGTAGATGCAGCTGCTAGATAGACATAGAGTAGCCTAATATCGAATAATCTATTCCATGCACCTTTTCAACAAATGATTCAACTGACAGGTGAAACCAGATAGATTGGATTGGGATTGGGTTGGGACTGGGAACTAAACTCTATTAAGTATGTGTTTACAAACTGCCTGTCAGGCCTGCATTTATATTCCTTTTAGAATTTTGGCCTGCCACACTTAATCTTATTTCATTATGCTGTTTCTTTAAGTATAGTCAATGTGAGGAGGGATTAGAAGGAGTAGGATTTTTGGAATGTATTGTTTTTCACTCTTTGCTAGAAGCCAAGGTCATCCTTTGT